CTATCCAAACAAGGGGACATGAATAGCTGAGGGTGGAGCAGTACCGTCCTTTTTGAATGGTACTGCACTCGTAAACTGTCTCAGCTCATGTTTTCAAAGCTGAACACAATCCGTTTCTGTTGTGTTGCGTTCAAACCTAGGTCAGACAGTTCAGATGTGAGTCTTGGGAAGATTTCCCGATGTCACTCTATGCAAGAAAGACCAAAACAAATGGAATATTTCATTAAACATGACAAGCGCAAATGGAGTAAGAAGGAAACTAAATGAAAAAGGATGTTTGTGCATCAATATGAACTTTTGTTATGCTCAACATTCATCGTAATTTACTCTTATTCTTTCCCTATGTTCTGTGTCATTAAATCTGTATTAGAAAAATAAATCGCTAAATTTCACTAAATGTTCGTGACAGGTTTGGTCACATTAATTATAGATAGACATACCAGAAATACCAAAATCCAAACATTTAATGTCCAAAGCAACATTTGGCTGCTTTTGACTTTTTTTGTGGACAAAGACGGATGGAGCATTCATTAAAATATTTTCTTTTGTGTTCCACAAATGAAAGAAAGCCAAAGAGCTTTGGAACAACACGAAGGTGAGTAAATGATAACATAATTTTTATGAATTTTTGGACTACAAGTCTCCTGAGTCATGAAATAAAACACTTCGTTCTCTGGGAAGATCCATGAGTCAGATCACTTTTTTCACAAGCATCCTTTTAACAAATCCCTTTAGGTTCAGTAAATAAATATACAAACATATAAATAAATACCCCAGTGATTTTTGAGAGATCTCGGGGAACAGCCTTTTAAATAAAGGCTGTCATGCTAAAGGCATGAATTAGATCAAACCTCTTGGATTTCCATATGTATGAATAAATACACTGAAGTTGTTTGAGCTTTGTAATTATGCCTTCAAGCACAATAATTCCTTGATGAAAAAGACACAGCAGTTGCCATACCCTAGCATTCAGAGTTCAGACAAAACATCATGATGATGATGTTCGTGAAAGTTATTAAAAATATTTTTAGGAGAACAGACCTGAACATAGGACGAGGTTCCCATGGTAGCGGGGTCTGTCACGATGAGCGTTGATGTTATGATAACGGTGAATTCTCGGATTGGAGTAGTTTTTGCCTGTGTTTTGGTCAGTGTCTTTGTTGGTGTTTAGCCACACTATTACGTCATAAAGTGGCACATTCCACAACCTGTCGTTTTGGCAGATTGGCTTCAATATAAGCTGTTTTTAAACTAATGAGAAAGTTTTGAGTTCTGCCTCAAGATATCTTCGCACTGCCACCAAATACGGTACACGGAAGGGAAAAAAAGGCAAAAATTAAAACCTCAAATGATTTTTGTTTGTCATGGTGAGATGCATGGTTTGATGCATATTTAGGTCTTTGTGGTGATCATTAGCAGATGTTCAAAAGGTGTTCACAA